ACGAATGAAGGTGAAATTAAAAAATTTTCAGGAGCTAAACATCCACGTTAGGTCCTAATGAATACGTGTTCCAAGTTTCATAGAGCTGCGTACATTAGTTTGGGAGATTTTCTTTGATAAATTTAATTTGGAGATGGGCCGTGAAACCGGCCACGAGTACGGCCGTAAATCTGTCAAGAGACGTCCTGGGTTTCTAGTGCTGAAACAGTTAAAACTGCTAAAAATATATTGGTTTACTGGGGTTATATCTGTGAAATACACATTTGTGTCCAACATTTCACTATTAAAATTGCAGAGTACTAAAGTACTAAATATCAAGAAAGAGGCGTTTGTTTTTAATGTGTCTGTAGGGGGGGGGGCGCTAGAAATTCACTAGGGAGCCAAAGGGGGCGCCAGCCTGAAAAAGTTTTGGGAACCACTGCAATAGTCCCACAATAATGCGGCACATTAGTCCCACACAACACACCAGTCCCACGATAATAACACAACGCTACAATATAACACTCTACACTCAAGTGTCCCCTAAGTCCCCATGTGCTTGCAGGAGAGTCCGCCCCCACGTGCGCGACCTGCCAGGACTCGCGGCGCCGCAAGTGCTACGACTGCGGCTGCTGCTGCTGCGGCCGCAAGGAGGATCCTGAGAAGCAGCTCATGTGTGATGAATGTGACAAGCCTTACCACATCTACTGCCTACAGCCTCCTCTTGACGCCGTGCCTGATGTGCAAGAGTGGTGAGTGTGTCATGCATGTGACAAGCCTTACCACATCTACTGCCTACAGCCTCCTCTTGACGCCGTGCCTGATGTGCAAGAGTGGTGAGTGTGTCATGAATGTGACAAGCCTTACTTTTTGTTTATTACCAATTCTTGTTTATTTAGTAATTTTGCAGCTTATGTTCCATCTTCTTTAACACATCTCTCTATAACAAACTCCAAGCTTTACACCTTCTTGGGAGGTTTTCATCCCCTAACTATCTGATCGGTGAACAAAAACGCGTTTTTAAGGAATGAACATTCTAACTTTTAACTTGAAGTCTGTTGCGACCTCTCCACCCTCCACAATTTTTTCTCCCAGGTTTTGCCCATCGTGCAAGAACGACGAGACGGAGATCGTGCGCGCCGGCGAGAAGCTCAAGCAGAGCAACAAGAGAGCAAAGATGCCCAGCCAAAACTCTAACAGCAGCAGGTTGCCATGCGTATTATATCTTCGTTTATCCTTTGTCCCATAGCCTTGAATAACGCACCTCTGTTGGTTATATCACTCACAGAACTTATGTCAACGAAACATCCCACAGCAGCAGGTCGACATGCGTATTTTTATATCCCGGTCCCTCATATTCCTGTTCCTTATCTATTTAAAAATTTTGTTTTCATTTATTTCATGAACATCTTATTTAAATAAGTATTAAGCATCTTGATACTTAATATATACACGTTTTGACACTATTAAATGTTGAACTAGATTAAATACGTGCAAGGATCAGATTATAGCAATAAATGGAATATTTACAATAAGGATGACATGAAATGTCATTAGATAAAGCGTTTGGCATTACTCATTCACTTGTTAATTGTGGCTGATGATAAATATTGTGCCCAACAGGGACTGGGGCAAAGGTTTTGCGTGCGTTGGGCGCTCCAAGGAATGCACAATTGTTCCATCTGATCACTTCGGCCACATACCCGGCGTTGAGGTTGGCTCTCAGTGGCTCTACAGGATCCAGGTGAGTCCTTCATTTCTCTGTGCTATTTTTTTATGAAAATTAGACCTGTCTTTATTGTAGAGGGAAAGATTCTTTTTATTGTGTTGTTAAAAACTGCCTGTTTTCCTTGTCTGGCACACTTTTTACTATCGCAATTCCTTACCAGAGACAATTATGTAAAGGAGCTTTTTTGTCTTGGATTAATAATTTTAACTGAGCAGGTACAATTATGACTTTGAATGCGCAGTGGAATTTCAATTTAAATCCAGGAATTTCAATTTAAAATCACATTTAAAATCAAATGGTTATCTAGGAAAGCAACAAAACCCCGTACCTGTATCTTGGTACTAAGTTTAGTGTAGATCTGTAGAGAAATATTTTGAAGAAATATACTAGAGAAATAACTTAGATGAATGGGTGTGCAGGCGAGCGAGGCTGGGGTGCACCGCCCCCCCGTGTCAGGGATCCATGGTCGGGCAGATGCCGGGGCGTACAGCGTGGTGCTGGCGGGCGGCTACGAGGACGACGAGGACAACGGCGAGGAGTTTACGTACACGGGAGCGGGAGGGCGGGACCTGAGTGGCAACAAGCGCACTGCGCAGCAGAGCTGTGACCAGACCCTCAACAAGACCAACAGGTGACCAGACCCTCAGCAAGACCAACGTTGATCTAATACCTCTCATTCCACTCACTTTTCTACCACCCCTCATACCACTCGGGCAATGCTGTGGCATCACTCACACCACTCATGCCTTGCAGGGCACTGGCGCTGAACTGTAACTGCAAAATATCCGAGAAGGGCGGGGATGCCGGCGACGACTGGAGGAAGGGCAAGCCGCTGCGTGTGCTCAGGAGCTACAAGGGCAGCAAGCACAGCCAGTACGCGCCTACGGAAGGCATCAGGTCAGTATTGAGATATTACTCGACTCCCAATAGACCTATTGTACTGTGAATGCATGAAATTCAAGCTTCCAGGTGTGGAAAGCAAGCATGCACAGTGTATTGCCGACAATACATTTATTTACTTTATTTTGTAATGTTCATATCGTCCTACGATAAAACGGCAGCCTAACTGCAGGTACGACGGACTGTACAAGGTGTGCCGCTACTGGCAGGAGGCCGGCAAGAGCGGCTTCAAGGTTTGGCGCTACCTCATTAGACGGGACGACCCAACCCCTGCCCCCTGGACTCCTGAGGGCAAGGATAGGATAGCCAAACTGGGGCTCGTCATGCAGGTAACTCTCCTCCCCTTCGTTGAGTTATCTCACCTGACACTTTTCATCCTACGTATTTGATTTAATTTGATTTGATTAGCTAACCGTAGCGTAGACTTGTCTTGAAAGTGACTTGGCAGTCTCTTCGTCACTGGAACTTGACAAGTTGAATTGAGTTGACAATACCTGATATTGTTATTTATATGCCTTGTTATAGTTTTATTTTGCTCCTTTCGTGTTTTGTTTTCCTTCAGTTTGGTAGGCAATTAGCTCTGATTATGTTTTGCATGTTACAGTATCCTGCCGACCATCCCGGCCTGTCTTCGGCCAGCAAGAGAAAGCTCAACGAATCTCAGGAGGTGAGCTTATGCCTCATTTCAACTCTCCTTTTCTTATTTTTGCTGCAGAAGAAGTACCTATGTTGTTTCTTTAAATTTAATGAAATGTAGAAGAAACCAATGCTGATTAAATTAATAAATTTTATTCGTTTTGAAATCTTAGATGTTCCTAAGACCAATGACTTGTTATGGCAACTTTTCATGCGTTTTTTCGTTTTTAGTTTCTATGCGTCACATCTCAAGTAAGATTTTCTGATTTTCTCAGAATTTGTGATGTTTCCAATTTTTGTTATGTCATCTGCCTAGATTTTCTCTTTAAAATATTCATTTATTTCCTTTATTTCAAGGCTGACTGGAATTGCACCGTCTTGCTCTTCTAACGCAGCACCTTACCATCTATCTCTGTCTTCCCCGTTAGTGTTAAGTGGATTAGCCGTAACTTAGAATTGCTTCTGACGCCCCCTCTGCACGCAGGACGGTGATGTGGGCGACGCCAGCAGGAAGAAAGCCAGGCTCGTCAGCTACGACATCGCTGACGATGTGAAGGCTGCCATCGCTGCTGACACAAGCAACCAGAAACTTTGGGCAGCTTGTCAGGAGGCAGCCAAGCAGGGCCATCAGGTGGGCGGTGATAAATTTCATGATCATAATTTAACTCTGTTCTTTAATAGTTCAGTAATGAGTTCATGTACCCATGATGTCGGCTATAGCTGGAACTTAATCCTTGGCACTCTCAAGGTCTGTCAGGGACGGTACTTGTTGATAATATTGCTTTCAAATTAGTATTTGTAATCTCGAACTCAAATAGCGAGCCTCTTGGCAAGAGATTCCTCATACATATTAATCGGAATGAAGAATAATGAGGGTGGTCAGCATATTACATACAACACAAATGTATGCAAAACTAGATATGCAAACTGTAATCATGTATGGTTTGCTTTGGGGTTGTGTAGGGCATATTCTATTGCTTCTCATTATTTTCGTGGTTGTTCTCATAGTACGCACTTCTTTTTTATTGTATTTCATTTCTTGAGGCATTTTTTATATATTAGTCTGCATCTTTCACCTTGAATTGGAGATCACCTTAGAGTTATTCGGCTTTAATCCTTAGACTGCGGATGCAATAACGGCGTCAATGGTATTCGTATGTCAAGTCCTGGTTGCTAAAGTTGCTTTCAGTTTACGACTTTGGTGTGAAGAAGACTTAGTTTCCTAATACTTGCCATGATTTGTGAGGTCCTATTATTATTATTTCCTAATTTCTTGCACTACACGATGATTAGTTTTGTTTTGGAAAGAACCATCATAAGAATGAAAAGCAATCCTACCCATCTGCATCATTTAATTTTAGATCAGTGATATCATGCTTCTCCACTGTTGATGGATAGTATTTTTGCGTGAATGTGGGTGCTTTTCATTCCCTTCCTTTGCTCCATTCTACTCACAATTGTCATGAGCTTGAGAAAGCAATTTCAACTCGGACTCCGTTCTCTGATTACGCCCTGCGTATACTTTGCTTCTGTCATTTCGTGAAGTATGATATGAAAGAAGCACAATTTCAAGACTCTTCAGCTATTTTTGTGTCTATCTTCAGAATAGTTGGGATTAATTCAAGTGGTCGTTATGGAAGCTGACTTAATTCATGCACGCAACAGCTTTAGAGTTGCAAGTGTTGCGACTCACGTTCTATATGCTTGTGCAGAATTTCGTTGATGAAGTGCAAAGTCAGTTCAGTTGCATCTGCTGCCAGGAGTTGCTACTGCTGCCCGTCACTACGGACTGCCTGCATAACGTGTGCAAGGCCTGCCTGCTGCGCTCCTTCAAGGCAGAGGTGAGGTTACTGTGTAAATCCTTATTTCCTGTTGTATAAAGTTCTTTGTCTTCCAACGTTAATGTAACCGGTGTGTCATATGTGAAGAACCAACGATTCACTATTGATTCCTGTATGTTAAATAGGCAGATCTCCTTGCGATGCATGCCTTCAATGTATATATGCGTTTTCAGTATAACTTTACTGAATTAGGTTCTCTCTCATTTTCGACGATTGCAAGTGTTGTATCTGCGTGCAGGTGTTCGTGTGCCCTGCGTGCAGGAAAGATCTTGGTCAAAGCTACAAGGCGGTCGTCAACAAGGATCTCAGCGCAGCACTCTGCCTCATCTTCCCTGGATACCGTGGCACCTCTCCTCACTGAAGCCTTTCTTTTTCTCCCCAGAAGCTCCTCTCTCTGTCTCCCTGGCGCTTCTCTCTCCCTCTCCCTGACGCTTCTCTCTACCTCTCCCTGAAGCTTCTCTCTACCTCTCCCTGAAGCTTCTCTGTCCCTTTCCCTGAAGCTTCTCTCTCCCTCTACCTGAAGCATCCTTGTCTCCTTCTCCATAAACTTCCCCCTACTTCTCTCCAAACCCTCTCCTTCCTGTTCTTCTCCTTGCGACATCGCATTTTTTTCTCTTGAATGCGGTAGCCTGATTAGGTGCTGCAAACGATCATATCGTTCATCCTATAGTCATAATTTTGTCAACAGGCAGGCTTGAACCCGTAAATCAGGTTTTTCATTTCTTTTAGTTTTAACGGAGATGCTTACGAAGCACTCTATTTTCAACTTTTAAGACATATATGTGTGAAGCTCATAATTACGGGGCTGTCACCACACTCAATGAATGAAGGTGTCAGAAGATGTATACTATTCTCTATCTACTCAGCGGGGCTCGTGGCCGTGATCTTTATGAATGTCACTGCATCCACCATTTAATTAAGCCTCACTGTTCGACATGAATTACTTGTTTCAGTCAATTTGTAAAAATTTCGTTATTTTATACCATAAACATCTTAGAATAGCTGTGTAGGCTTTTTTATAATACTTCCCTGAATACTTGTCGATATTAGAATAAGGCTACTAGGTTCTTCTATTCGTGGCAGTTCAGACGAAAGTCTTCTTTGCGATATCCTGTTTGAGTCTCCACCTCTATTCCTTTCCAATACAGATTATTATATTGTTTTAATTGACTCAACAACCGAAATGAATATTTCTTTAAATGACATCATATCTATGGAGCATTCCTCCTTGAGTCGTGGAGGTGCTCGGTAGAATTTTTTATAAACCCATTAGCTCGTTTATATCAACAGAGTGACATGCTTGAAAAGTAAACACGTCTCAATAGTTGACGAGTACGAAGAATCTGGCCACCTTTAATCCCTTGAGTCAACTTGCCATGAATAGAATTGATACGAATTAAAGTTGGATGCCCAATATCAAGAACCATCGAGATTTTAGTAAATGCAGCCAAAATTTCTTGACTTTAACCACCCTGTAAGTAACATTGAATTAATATCCTAATATTTTTGTGATGACGTGTTATCTAATGAAGAAATTATTCTGAAGTGAAGATGTTGATGGAATAATATCTTCATCGGGAAAACTCTGTAGCTGCGAGTGTCATGCTGCCAGCAGACGTGAATCTCTGCAGCATCGATTGACGTGAACACTGCCCCAATTGAAGTCCCTAAACAGTTCACTAGTGTGAAAACGACATACAAACGTGTACGCTAGTATGTGAATTGGACATGTACCGTCAAGTTTTTAGAGTTGTGACGTTACTTGCGACAAGGGGAAAGTGACAGAGAAATTAAGTTCTCATCGTTTTAAGGAAATAAAGATAGAGGGAAATATTGATAAATCTTTGAAATAATTTATGTTCGTCAATCATCTCAAGTCTAATGATGCATGAATTTAATGATGTTATCAACAGGAGTAAAGACAGTCATAACTCATAACTGAAATTTCAAAAATACAAATTTACCATCACTTGTAAAGAAATGAGCCAAATGAGGGATACCTTATGCCTCTTCCACTTAACTGAGCTACTTACAATTCACTGGGCCTTCATTTTTTTCCTTTTTGTATCACCTGTATTGCTGTATACAAAAGCCCTACCTACTACTGAATGCCTTCCGGTCACTACCCACCTAATCGAATCTTTTTTTATTATTTGTTCTCTTCAGCGTGTGATATGTTTTTCGCGAGAGTATTCCTTCCCCAATAATTTTACTAAATTACCCTTTGTAAAAAGTTCCAATGTTTAGGTTTTCTGCTACGATATTAACCCTACCTGTCGAATGTCTTACTTTGGTCTATTAAAAGTATGCTGTATATATGCTGCACAAGTCTGCTGCTGGTAATGTTAAGCTTAGACAGAATTATCATGTATATTATTACATATATATCTAATCCCCCGAAAAAAGAAGATAACAATTTTTCAAACTAATAGTAAGATTTTTGAAAAGTGAATAGGCTATCGGAGACTCTGAGAGCAAAAGGAAAAATATCTGTTCATCCCGAAGTTCGAGTTCCAACGAGCAACGATGATAGTAGAAACCCACAGTCGGCGGCACTGCCGGCACAGCACTTGAGTTTCTGCTTGCCGGCCCTCAAATGATCAATTATTTTAGCAACAAAGCAGAACCGCATCATTCTCATGAATACCATGATCATCTTTGCAGTCATGAGTCATGTGGTTATTAAACCACGGCACCACGCCATGATGTCCCCATCTTCATTAATTCTGGTTCACCAACTTCACCTTAGTCACCTAGGTAGGTACTCAGCTACTGTCTCAGTCTCTCAATCACTGAATCAGGCCAGAAAAAATGTTCCAGATTTCTTGATTTTTATAGGAAACAACTATACTGTAGAGTGTAGTACTGTAGTGAAGTGAACTACTACGGTACTACAGTACTGCCACTCTGCCAGTACTGGTACTACCACACTTAATAATGACTTAACGATAACGAGTATAGGCCAAAGCCTAAAATAAAGGAACGGCTGAAATTAAGGAAAAGAAAGCTCATAGTAATTGACAATCCTGGTTCCTGGATAGGCTGGACAATTTTAGATATTTATTTGCCCCTTACACTTACAGGCTTACAGGCTACAGCCTTACTTAGTACTTAGTACTTATGACTTACTTACCCTAAGTGAAAAATTCAAAATTGGGCAGAATCCACCCATGAATTGTATAAAAACACCTGTGAAGTGTGAATCTGGCCTATTTCATGTTCACCCAAACACCCACACCCATTCCCATAGTGGCAAACCAAAGCTTTTTTAGAATCAGTTCATTTTTAATTTCCTCATTTACTTGAGATTTAAACCAATTTCTTAAGTATGATAATGCTGGTATCCAGGATGCTTTACTGGTCTACTTATAGGACTCAAAAATGAACTTGATGGAGAGTCTAAAAAACTCTCTGCTTTGCCACTATGCCCATTCCAGTAGCATTTTCTAAATTTTTTCAGTAAAAGTATAAGAACATTTTATTTTCACCAATAATTTTGAAAAATTACCCATTAAACAATGGTTTTTAAATGCAATTTTAGAAAACTTTGCTACTGTCAGTGTCAAAAGAGGTTGTTGTTGATGTTCCTCGTCCTCGAGCCCTGGTCACACCAGGAAGCCCACGCCACGCAGGAAAGCCGCCACACAAGAGCCGGCTCGGACCATAGCTGCGTGATGGATGTTATGCCTGCCCAGAGGCCGGAGCCTGGGACCTGGGTGCTGCCAGCTCCGGGTACTCCAGCTGAAGATGCTTGACGGTGTGGGGGAGTGCTTGACTTTGGGGGCACTGGTCCGTTTGAGTGCTGTCCAGGCGGTGTTTGTAAGAGCTTAGCGAGGAATGATGACCGCAGCCGAGTCTGCTGAGGTGCCCCCTGTCTGCACGGCTCAACTGCTGTTCTGTATGGCTGATGTCTGGTGGTATTGGTATGTCATCAATGATGCTGTTGATTAGTAGATTTAAGAGTGCGTTCTGGGTTAGGTGTGTGTGTATGTGTTTAATGAAGTTGGCTGGGTCTTTGGGCGGAGGTATGGAATTAATTATTGTGAGATAATAGTTGTATGGAGTGTTGGCAATATGTCTGGGTGTGGGGGTAGGTACTGCAAGTAATGGCAGGGACTGAGGGGGAGGGGGTTGTGGATTGTGGAATGTGGAGTGCTGATGCAAGGGGTAAAAAGGGACGGTTTTGAGCGTTTTTTGTTAGTAACTTCTTACCATGAAAAATTTCACAAACAAGTTTAGGCTCATTTTATAGCTCTTTGTGAAGACTATTGAATGGCATTATAAAAAAAATTCCATATGCTATTTGTAAGGTGCTAGATGCAGTGGCAATATAAAAGGCTCCTGAATTCATCTGGAAATGGGGTAAAGAGGGACACTTGAAATAAAACTCGATTTTAAACGTTTAAAGTGTGCAGAGTGCATTCACCTATTACCAGCAGTACTCCAAAGTCCTTTTCCTTTTAGATGTAACGTAATGATGATGAGCTCAACAAGCTTCTTTAGGGAGTGTTCATTGCATTGAGTGACCTGGATGTTCATGTTAGGATTTCTGCCTAACATCCAGGCTGTTCTGCTTCCCAAGAAGATTTTATTTAAATTTAAATTTAGATTTTTGCCTAAATTTAAAATTTAAGCAAAAATCTTTGTGATTAACCATACTTATCTTAACTGTGGCTTTTGCTAACAAAGGATCTGCTGTGAATGTGTTTTAGGGGTTGTCCCTAATTACCCCAGGGG